CAGCTTCTACTATTCCTGCCTAATATTGGTGTAGTTAGCCTTTCCCCAGTTTAGCAATTTCATGCTTTTGCTCTAAAACTACTCTTATCCTTATCAATAGTAACTTAAACCTACATAATTATGGTCACTGTTCCCAAAATACTCCCTCATTGAAACTTGGATCACCTGTCTGGGCTCATTCCCAATGCCAGATCTTGTAGGTCCCTTCCCACACCTAAGCACCACCCCTCCTTGCCCCCATTCAAGCCCTTGGCACTGAGGAAGTCCCAGTGACTATAGGGGCAGTTAATATCATCCACCATAACAATCCTGTTGTTTTTACATTTCTCTATATTCTGTCCACTTGCCTGTTCACTATCACTTTTTTGATCACATCAGAGGCTCTTGGGAGGCCTGTGGTACAATCCCTTCAAAGAGATTGCACCTTTCCTGCTCCTGAGCTCTACCTTTATGGCCTTGCTGGATGAGCTCTCTCAAGGTGCCCTCCCTCAATACAGCGATGACGTTGTGTGGCACTCCTACCTTTTATATCTCTTTTTATCTTGCCTGAAACACCTAAATCTCGGAACATTAAGCTGCCAGTCTTGTCCCTCTCTCAAGCAAATCTCTGTAATAGAATGACAGAATCCCTACTGTGTGGAATCAGGCCATTCAGCCCATCAAGTCCACACTGACTCTCCAAACAGCCTCCCACCTAGACCCATGCCCCCTACCCTATCCCATTAACCCTGCACAACCCATGGCTTATCTACCTAACCTGCACATCCCTGAACACTAATTGGCAAGTTTAACATGGCCAATCCACTGAACCTGCAGATCTTTGGGCTGTGGGAGGAAACAGGAGTACCCAGAGGAAACCCACTCAGACACGGGAGAATGTGAAAACTCCACACAGATTCTACGACTCTATTTCCAAATCGAAATGGTGAGTGGACGGAACTTGCAGGGGGTTTGTGCTCCCTTGAATCTGTCTCCCTTGTCCTTCTAGATAGTTATAGTCACAGATTTGGAAGGTGCTGTCCAAGGAGTTTTGGTAAATTTCTGCAAAGCATCTTGTACATGGCACGTATTGCTACTACCCGGCATCAGTGTTGGAGGGAGTAAATATTTGTGAATGCGATGCCAGTCAAGCAGATTTCTTTATCCTGGATGGAATTGAGCTTCTTGAGTGTTGTTGGAGCTGCACTCATTCAGGTAAGTGTGGAGTATTTCATCACAGTCCTGACTTGTGCCTTGTCAATGGTGGGTAGGCTTTGAGGAGTCACAAAGTGAGTTACTCAGTGCAGGATTTCGAGCCACTGCATATGATTAGTTCAGTTGAGCTTCTAGTCAATAGTAAACCTCAAAATGTTGATATTGGGGATTCAGTGACGGTAACGTTGTTGAATGTCAAGGAGTGATAATTAGATTCTGTCTTGTTGATGGCACTAGTGTGGCATGAAGTTTACTTGCGATTTGTCAGCCCAAATTCAAATGTTGTCCAGGTCTTGTTGCTTTCGGATTGGGACTGCCTCAGTCTCTGAGGAGTCATTAACGCTGCTGCAGATTTAAACTTTCTGTTACTGATGTGATTGTCAGAATGGATAGATGTTGACAATATTATTATTTTGTTATGTTAGAAAGAAATATTAGTTTGTTATCACAAATAAACAAAGAAAGAACAGCATAGAGAAGAAACATAAAGCACACAGATGTAATTTTGTCAGTTTATTTTGGTGAAATGTTTACTTACCTTGGATAGTTACCTCGACAGTAGAACTTCTGTTTTTTTTTGTTATGGTGTTAAGAGCCTGACAGGTGTAATTCCCAGCAGAACTCTGACTTGCCGAATCAATGTTGTAAGTTTGTCCCATTTGTAACAGACTATCACCATTGTACCATTTATAGATAGCTGCTGGGACTGATGAGGCAGAGCAACTTAATGTAAGCGATGCCCCCAGTTCTAGCTGACTTGACCCTGCGGGTCTAATAATGACTTCGTCTGGTCCATCTACAAAAAGGAATCGAAAAAATGTGTTGTCTTTGCACCTAAAATAATCACTGATGGTAAATACAAACTAATACCTCGAGGTTTTCGTGTACTTACAATTAATTGTCAGGTTGAAATCTCCGGACTCATCGTTAATGCTACCAATGACGTAACATGCATATTTTCCTGAATCGTTTCTGTCAACATTGATTATTGTTAGCGTCGCATTATCCTCAGATGTCATCATTCTGTCATTGTTCTTGACAACTTTGTTATCCTTATACCATATCCTTGATTGTATAGAGCCCATGGCATGACAAGTCAATAAAATGGTATGGAGGCTTTCTACTGGTGCTGAATTGTTGGACGATATAGTGACATTACTAACTCGTTCTGTAAATAAAATTTGCAAAATGAAACGGGGTTACATCATTTTCGATTCCCCATTCAGTGATCGCTGGGGTCTCCATTTAAACTCATCATCTTTCTCTATTTTTCTGACGCACTTCATGTTCCACGCATACTGGTGTCTGGTTTAAAATCAAGGCGTGTAGTTACCTGTAAAATGTGTGATGATTTGAAATTGACGCTTTAAGTCAGATCGACCACAAATGACACTTGGGAAAGATTAGTGAGGAGTTGAACAGCACAAAGGCAAATATGATTTGCCGATAAGTGGAACTGAAAGGATGGAGGCAGAATAGTGAAGAGGGGTGCTTTCTCTCCAATCCCTTCCTCCCTCCAAGGTTGAATTTTCCAGCCCCCATCTCTGTTTCTTATAAAAAAATGTCCCCCATTAAGCATAAGCAAATCAAGGACTACTTTAACCTAAACAGAACTAATACATTTGGCCCCAAAATTATTGCAAATAATCATTGAAAGATTGCGGGAAGGCTGCCATTCAGCCAGCAATTGCTTCCCAGCACTATCTCAAGTTTTTCCAATGTTGGGAGAATGCTCTATGCATTATCACAATTCAAAAGTTTACACTTATCAGGCAAAAGTGGTGAATTATTTCACAAGGCATCTTGGGTTAACATTGCCAGCCTTAAAGCTAAAAATGTAAGGTGGAAGTACATGGTTCTCACACTTAAAGTCAGGGTTGCATTTCTGAAAATTGCAACTTTAAGTGAAGCATCGTTTCTCATTGGAATCAATGCTAAAGTCAGAGTTAGGTTTCTGAGGAAACCCTTTGCCTGCATAAGCCGATGTAAAGTTTGAAATACTGTACTATACATATGCAGTATCATGTTGAAATAACTTGCAAAGCAAATACAAGGAAAACTTCAGTGAAGAAAGAAAGCTTCTTGCTTACAATGGTAAAAACATTTACAGTATGGTACAGGCACTCAGCTGTTGTGCCTGTACAGGTAAAGTACCGTAGAGTATAGCACAGCAGAGAATTCTTTGAAAATAACAAAATCCAGAACAGTTCCTCGGCTATTTCAGCTAAAAAGAAAAACAGAGATGTTAAGGAAGAAAACAAATATATTGTTTTTTGCATTTACTTCAGAACCTGAATGGAGATACAAATTTTATATAAATGATTTTGGACTACAACACACACACACACACACACACACACACACACACACACAGACACACACACACACACACACACACACACACACACACAGTGGAGTGCGGAATGTCAGGGCCTAGCTGACATCACAATGATGCAACTCACAATGGTACAAAAGGCGCAATCATATCACAATCCTGGCATGACCGGGAAATAAGGGGCTGTTAAAATGAAAAATGAGTGAACATAGGACAGCAACAACTTTAAAGTGAAGGAACTTTAAACGGGGTGACTTAAAGTGAGGATTCCACACACAAATCCTTAAACACGAGGCATTTTTATTGCAGTTAATTCTATCTTTGGTATTTATTTGCAACAACATTTTTTTTTGCCTGTGAGATTGTTGGCACCTTTAATTAAATCCAACAGATCCCAGCTCCCAGATATCTGGTAACACTGATGTAGAATAATCTCACCACAAGCCAGAAATGCCCATCAGTAGATGGGATCACTGACTCATCAAAACTGGGCTGCAACAGACTAATGATTCTTGCGCATTGGAAAGAGGGTAGGGCTTGGGGCAGGGACAGGGTTTAATTTCTTGTCTGCTTGAGGTCTGAGTTTGTAATATCTCGAATAGCAGGTCAAGTGACAAGCATACAGTAAAGGTATACACCATGGAATCCCTACAGTACAGGTAGAGGCCATTTGGCCCATCAAGTCTGCATCAACCCTCCAAAAGAGCATCCCGCCCAGACCCACTTCCCCCAACCTATCCCCATAACCCCACATTTACCATGGCTAATCCACCTGGCCTGCACATCCCTGGAAACTCTACGGGCCAATTTAGCATGGCCAATCTACCTAACCTGTACATCTTTGGACTGCTCAAGGAAATCAGGGCACCCAGAGGAAACCCACACAGGCACAGGGAGAATGTGCAAACTCCACAGAGACAGTCACCCAAGACTGGAATCAAACCTGGGGGTCCCTGGCAGTTTGAGGTGGTGTGCTAACCATTGAGCCACCTTGCCATCCAAATTGAATTCAAAGGCTGCCATTGCAGGATTTGAACCCAGGTCCGCAGCAGATTACGCCCTGAAGTAACAGTCCAGTCATAACAGCACAAGGTCATCATCTCCCTGCCATACACCACCATTAAGTGAGCCAGAAATGCCAGTAATGATTCACAACAAAGTCATTTTTTGTCATTGGGCACATACACTTCAATTCTTATTTCATTTCCACTCATGATAACTTGAGGGCAGATATTTACACAGGAAGATCAGTAATGTTAAAAATAGGATCAGAGAATCAAATATTAGAGTGAGCATTTCTATCTCTGCATTTATTTTTAACTAAGACAGGCACTATTACACACCATCTCACAGAGAAACAGATTGATTGGCAACTTTCTTCCTGAACTTGTAACTTGAGTTTTAAAAGTTTGCTCATTCCAACAAGATTTTCAAACTGTGCCAAACCAAATGAATAGCCAAGACTCATTGAGTCATACAGCACGGAAACAGGCCCTTTGGCCCAAATCATCCATACCGACCAGGTTTCCTAAAATAAATGAGCTCCATTTGGCAGCATTTGTCCCATATCCCTCTAAACCTCCCCTGGCCAAATGTCTTTTAAATGTTATAATTGTACACGCCTCTATCACTTCCTCTGGCTGCTCGTTCTGTATGTGCACCACCCTCTGTGTGAAAAAGTTGCCACTCAGGTCCATTTTGAATCTTTTCCCTTTCACCTTAAACCTGTGCCTTCTAGTTTTGGGCTCCGCTACCCTGGGAAAAAGATTTTTCCTGTTCACATTATCTATGCCACTCATGATTTCATAAACCTCTCTAAGGCCACCCTTCAGCCTCCTACGCTCCAGGGAAAAAGAGTCCCACCCTGTCCAGGATAACAAGGCGTAGAGCTGGATGAACACAGCAGGCCAAGCAGCATCAGAGGAGCAGGAAGGCTGACATTTCGGGCCTAGACCCTTCTTCAGCCTATCCAGTCTTTCTCTATAGCTCACAACTTTCAGTATAGGTTATGACTTGTCTGAAATTCAATTTTGCAATTGCAAAAAAAATTGCCACATTGTTAAGTGTCTAAATGGTACTTTCCTGAAATCTGAGTACATGCAGAGTATGTTTGTTGAAGCATTGTCAAGCTTTAAATTTATTCTGCTTTACCTGAAGGAACTCAATGTACATTTTAAGCTGGATCAACACGACATCTTCCACCTAGGTACCTTACAGCCTTTAGGACTCAGCACTGAGTTTAACAGTTTCAGTGCATAAACACTCTCCACGGCTCCAGATTCTGTTCTTTATGGTTTGTTTTTCCTATTACAGCCAAACCGTTTTCAACCATACACATCTCTCATTAGCACAACCCTGCATTCATCACTGTCCGCATATCATCAGCAATCATGTGTTAACTTAAAATCTGAAGCACTTAGATTTTTGTTAAGCAATGGAATTAAGGCATATACAACAAAGGCAGGTATAGGGAGTTAGGCCACAGATCAGCCATGACCTCATTGAATGGCAGAACAGGGTCAAGGGGTTGAATGATGTCCTCCTGTTCCAATGTTCCTGTAATCCCTTTTTCTGCCGCTCCTTTATTTCTCTCCCTCTCTCGGCATCACCTCCATCGATTCATCTCACCTCCTTGCCCTCCCCAGTCATCGTCAGCATTAATACAACCTTTCCAAGCTGCTTTTAGTTCGGACTTTAGAATCAAAATATTAACTCTCTTTTTCTCTCCATAGAGACTGCTGAGTTTTTATTTACCCAATTCATTCATGGGATGAGGGCATTTTTCACTAGGCAGTATTTATTGCCCATCCTGCTGTGTGTCTGGAGTCACATGTACGCCAGACCAGGTAAGGATGGCAGTTTCCTCCTCTAAATCCCCAACAATTGACAACAGATTCACAGTCACCATCAGACTCTTAATTCCCAGCATATTTATTGAATTCAAATTCCACCATCTGCAGTGATGGGATTCAAACCCCAGAAAGTTATCTGGGTCTCTGGATTAACATAATACGATAAACAATAATACTACTAGGCCATTGCTTTCCCCACGCTTCTCCAGTGTTTTCTGTGTGTGTTATAAATTTTAACTCTATGCTGATCTTGGTGACTGACAGCACCTGCTCACAGTTACTTAGCTATCCCCTCATCAGCACAAAACATAGATAGGTTTGTGGACCAACAGACAACATGCAATATGAATTCAGAAGGTATTTACAATGCTTAACTAAACTTCTTAACGTTATAGGGGGGATTTACTCATGAAGTCAGCTGTGCAAAAGCAGAATGCACTGTACCCTTTGGCTTGTGGGCAGTATTTAATGAAACTTCACATGAGGTTATTGGTTCAAGGATGTGAGAATTCATGATACATTTGGGAAGAATCAAGAATTCAGAATAATGTGGTCAATAACTCAGCTCCTGATCCCACAGCACTTTTCTATCATCAACAAAGCACTGTGACAGAATACTCCCCACGTGCCTGGATTAGTACAACTCCAACAAACACTCAGGAAAGTTGGCACCATTCTGGACAAAGCATCTGGGTTGTTTGGTATCACACCCACAAACATCCATTCCCTCCACCAGTCATGCTCAGTAGCAGCAGCGTATACCATCTACAAGATGCACTGCAGAAATTCACCAAAGTTCCTTCGGCAGCGCCTTCCAAACCCACTTCCACCTAGAAGGACAAGGGCAGCAGATACATGGGAACACCACCCCCTGCAAGTTCCCCTCCAAGCCACTTACTAGCGTGACTTGGAAATATATCTACACACCATCAATTCCTTCAGTGTCACTGAATAAAAATCCTGGAATTCTCTCTCTAATAGCAATGTGAGTCTACCTATAGCACATGATCTGCAGCAATTTAAGAAAGCAGCTCACCACCACCATCTCGAGGGGCAACTAGGATCGGGCAATAATTGCTGGCCAGCCAGTGCACCCCACATTCCATGAGTGAATAAATAAAAACATAAAGAAGTGATGGAAGCTGTCTACGGATTGCTTATTAGGACTAGCAGCGAGGACAAGTGTGCTGATGGCTGGGTTAGATAGAATCCCTACAGTGTGGAAGCAGGCCATTTGGCCCATCAAGTCCCCAACGACACTTGAAGAGCATCCCACCCAGAACTGCTCCCCCCAACCCTATAACCGTGATTCCCATGGTCAATCCAACAAGCCTACACATGTCCGGACACTATGGGGCAATTTAGCATGGTCAATCTACCTAACCTGCACATCTTTGAACTGTGGGAGGAAACCCACACAGACTACAGGGAGAACATGCAAACTCCGCACAGACAGTCGCCCGAGGGTCAAATCGAACCCAGGTCACTAGCGCTGTGGGGAAAGATTGGAGAGGCCACGGTTGTTCACCCTCAAACAGAGGGGGCTGAGAGATGACTTTATCGAGGTATACAACATAATGAGGGGCTTAGATAGAGTGGATCAGGGAAGACCTGTTTCTCTTGGCAGAGAAAATACAGTGTGGAGCTGGAGGGACACAGCACATCAGGCAGCATCAGAGGAGCAGGTAAGTCAACATTTCAGGTTTACACCCTTCATCAGGACTCTGATGAAGAGTGTAAACCAGAAGCGTTGACTTTCCTGCTCTTCTGATTCTGCCTGAACTGCTGTGCTCCTCCAGCTCCACACTGTATCAACTCTGACTCCAGCATCTTCAGTTCTGGTTATCTCTCTTTCTCACTTGGTGGAGAGATCAGTTACCAGCAGGCACAGATTGGAGGTGATCCAAGGTTGGAGGGGTCAGGAGGACAAACCTTTCTGCAACCAAAGGACGGGTGGGTGTTTGTAGTCTGTTGCCCAGTTTGGCGGTAGAATTGGAGACCCTCACCCCTTTGAAGGGGAATCTGGATCCCCTCCTGAAATTTTGGAACCTGCAAGGCTATGGACATGAGTATTAGAATGGGCAGCTGGATTCTTAAGCAAGCACTGACATTATGAGCTGAAGAATCTCACTCACCTTGCTTTAGTTCTATTGAGTTGGCTCCATTTCACTTTGAAGCCTTCCTTTGGAAAGGCATAAGGCCCAGAAGGTGGGAAGAATTTCAAGGGGTTAAAACAATTTGATATTTAAAGCATCCGCACAAAGAATATTTCTTTTTTTGGAACCAATAAGTTCAGGGCTGTTTTAATATTAGAACATGCAAGTAATTTATAATAATTTCTTCAATACACAAGTAACATTTCCACAACAGCAAGTTAAAACAGCATTAATAACCTTCTCCCTCAAATTAAAGTTATTAAAAATATTACAATTAAATATCAAAGATAGGAGTTTCAGAATTGATCGCTTCAGAGTTGGTTGCTTAACTGCATTCAGGAATTCTTGTCACTAATGCACATGCAAATTTTCTGGCAAGCTATTTGACATTCACCAATTAATTTACTTGAAACAAGTTGAAAACTTAAAATGGCAAATTTTATTGTCATCCAGATGAGTTCATATGCAGGCTAAAGATAGCATACCAACCAATTTTAGTCTTAATTGTTGTTGCAATTGAGTAAATAATGGAGCAGTTAGGACTGTCTATATTTTCTTTACAATGTATGATAACGTTGAGGTAAGTACTGAAAAATTATTTCTTGGTCCAATGTTATCTGTCATTTTATCAGCAAAACTAAGGAGGAGAAAGAAGCTCCATTTTATTATCAAATAATTTATTCCCGTTCGTTTTCTTCCCAGCATTGAACAAAAGACCCCTTCACCAATCCACAAGTGGACCACAAGCCAAGGAAATAAAATGGAGAAATGTGTTACCTACCTATTACAACTATTTGCTTAGTTGAGGCATTGCATCTTTTTGTTAAATTGTTAAAAGCCTGACAGGTATAATTTCCACTGTCATTCAACGAAATGCTAACAATAATTAGGTCACGCCCTTTCTGTTGAAGATGAGTATCATTGTGCAACCATTCCAATTCTGCAGATGGGTTTGAGTCCACAGAACATGAAAAAGTAACCATTCCTCCAGTGGGGTAAATGGACAAATCAGGTTTAATGGATATTTTAGGGAGATCCGGTCCATCTAAAATAAATGCACAAATGTATTGTCGTAAAGTTATGCTGAAACAAAAGGCAGTTGTGGACTATCCAATTTTAGAAGGAGATCATCACCACCATCACCATTACAGAAAATACACAGCCATGTGTCTTCTACACACCAACAATTTTCTACACACCATCTGCAATGTCAACTGAAGGCAAGAGTTTGGGTTGTTTTCCATACTGTTCGATTGTGGGTTTGGAAGTGAGATTTCTATTGTATGTGGTGCTGTGGATAAAAGTCACATTCCCCAGTGTGCAATGGTAAGGTCCAATGTCAGTTTCTCCAATGTGCAATGGGATTACTTAATGTCAACTTCTGCAGTGTGTAATGGGCAGGCTCAATATCAGTCTTCCCAGTGTGTAGCGGCAAGGTCTAATGTTAGCTTATCTAGTAAGTAATGGGACTGCCTCAATATCAGTGGCCCCAGTGTGTAATGGGTTAGCTTAATATCAGATTTTCCAGTGTGGAATGGCAGGATGCAATGTCAGTTTCCCCGGCATATAATAAGGTAATTTAATGTGACTTTCCACGGTGTGTAATGGGCTGGCTCATCATATTATGCGTTGTGTAATGGGTTGGCTTAACATCATCATTCGGTGTGTCATGGGTTGGCTTAACATCAATTTCTGTACTGTGTAATTGGGTGGCCCAATGTCAATATCCCCAGAAAACACAAGCTTTCGGAGCCTCCTTCCTTCTTCAGGTGCGAGGCTCCAAAAGCTTGTGATTTCAAATAAACCTGTTGGACTATAACCTGGTGTCGTGTGATTTCTGACCTTGTCCACTCCAGTCCAACACCGGCATCTCCAAATCACAGTATCCCCAGTTTGTAATGGTTTGGCTTAATGTCATATTTCCTGGTGTGTAATGGCAGGATGGAATGTCAGTTACCCCAGTGTATACTGGGTATCTTAATGTCAATTTCCACACTGTAAAATGGTGGCATGCCATATCATTTATCCCAGTATCTAAATGGTTGGCTCAATGTCAATTTCCTCAGTGTGGAATAGGTTGCCTCATCTCCAATTTCCACTATATATAAAAGGGCTGGCTCAATGTTAGTTGCCCTAGTATATAATGGCGAGCTCAATGAAATTTTACCCAATAGCAGAGCTCAGTTCCAGTTTACCCAGTATGTAATGGTGGGGTTCGATGCCAGCATGTAATGGTGGGCTTAATGCCCATTTCCTCTGTTTGTAATGGTAGGGCTCAACGGCAGGGGTCAATGTCAGTTTATGAGTATGTAGTAAAGAGTCTCTGATGCCTTTTGCCAGATTGCATGGTTGAGGCACAATGTCAGTTATGTCATGCTAACTGACTGCACTGCAATCAACTGGGGCATTATGAAAATGGTTTAAAATGTTTGAAAGATAATTTTTGGCAAATAAGCTACTGTGACCATGGCAGTGTTCCTTTCGCAAAGATAGGGATACAATGATTATGCTTGGAGGCAGTACAAACCATCTCTCTGTACACTTAGCAATGTACTGGTCTCTGGTGGTTTTAGGTGTTTTGAACAAACTGTTTGCTCTCAGCCCAGTTAGCAATGGTTTAGTACGAGTTTTGGAATTCTACAAAATATCCAGCTTTCAGTGACAGCAATTGAATATAATGGTTAGGGGGGTCAGGGATGGCAAGAAATCTATTTCCTGTTGTGAGCTGGAATTGGGATGTCTTGCAGCTGTTTCTTAATGTGTCTGATCCACAAAAAACCCACTGGGCACCTCCTGCAGTATTAGTGCAATGAACTGAATTCTTGTGAGATAACATTTCAATAAAATCATTCGATTTGCTCAATTATGAATTTTGACTCCAAATCAATCTGAATTTTTTTTTTGGCTAGGCAGGGGTCGCACTTAAAAATCAACTTCATTGCAAACACAAAACTCTAATTCTATCTGGAAATGCCAACATGTAGCTATTCTGAAAGAGCTTAGTATTACAACCGGCAGAGTAAAAATTGAAAATATGGAAAAGATGTTTTTGTTAATTAGTAGGTGTGTAGGCAACACACGCTGATCTACACCACCACCACTAAAGAGTAATATTTTTATAACCAGTCCTGTTTCCAAAAGGTCAAAATATTTCAGGGGCACTTTGAAAATACAAATAAATGTAAAGCCAATTATCTTTGCTATTTTGAGAGTGGTCAGTTATTTGCATGCTTGTTTTAGTGAGCAAACATTATAAGCAAAAGATCAAGTCTTTTCCCCCTCTTCCCCTATCACAGATTCAGCAGGAGTGGTGATAAAATGATAAAAGTAACATTATGTTGGGACACTTACAGCTAACGTTTAGATGGTATGGGTCACTTGTCATCCTGTTAATGGCGTTGAATGCATAGCAGGTAAATCCTCCATCGGACCGTAACACTCCAGATATAGTTAGGCTGCTATTATCATCACTTAGGGCAATCCTGTCACTGGGAGTAATAGGGCTATTTTCCTCAAGCCACTGATATGAAACTGCTGTGCCTGATGCGATGCAAGTCAGAGCCACGGTGTCATTGAATTCTATTAGGTTTGTAGCATTAGCAGTAACGTTAGGCTTGGACACAGGTTCTGTCAAAACACAGGAGAGTAGTTAATGCACTCGAAAAAGTAAGGCGGTGGATTTAGGGCCATATTCGAAATTTGTTGAATCTTTTTAAAACCTGTGGGTCCAAAGGGAAAATAATCCCCTGCAATACTTTCGGTTTAAACTGTGCAAATTCCATATGTGGAGAGCCAAGATTCTGACAGTGTCAAATTGGTACTCTGCTATATGGCACAATCTCAAAATAAGGAGGTTTATTTAGTAACATTTCATTTTAATCTGCAGTTCAGGAATATGTCCAATTGTTACAATTCCTTAGTTGATACATGCCAATTAGCTGCAAAATGTGCAAATGGAAATAAAGAGGATGAAATGGAAAGCCATGGAAATTGACCAGCTATTAAGGCTGTACCTTGTAAAGTGACAGGTCATGCACAGATGGAATACAAGCTTGCCATTTGAACAGAAGCAATACAGGGTGAGATTTTTCACATTGTGTCAAGGCGGGGGTTGAACTTTCTTTTTTATTGACTCGTGAGATGTAGGCATCGCTAGCTGGAGCCAGCAAATATTGGCCATCACTAATTGTCCCTCGAGAAAGTGGTAGTGAGCTAACTTCTTGAACTTCTGCAGTCTCTGTGGTGTAGGTAGACCCAGAATACCATTAGGAGAGGGAATTCCAAGTATTTGGCATAATGACATGGAAGGAATTGTGATATATTTCCAAGTCAGGATAGTGACTGGGTTGGAGCGGAACTTGTGGCGGGGGGGTGTTCCCACATATCTGCTGTCATTGTCCTTCTAGATGCAAATGGTTGTGGGTTCGGAAGGTTCTGTCCAAGTGGTGAATTTCTGCAGTGCAACTTATAGATGGTACACACTGCTGCTACTGAGCATCACCAGTGGAGGGAATGGATGTCTGTGGTGTCAATCAAGCGGGCTGCTTTGTCCTGGGTGGTGTCAAGCTTCTTGAGTGTTTTTAGAGCTGCACTTATCCAGGCAAGTGGGCAGTATTCCATCACACTCCTGACTTGTGCCTTGTAGATGGTGGACAAGCTTTGGCAGTCAGGAGGTGAGACACTTGCTGCAGGATTCCCAGTCTCTGTCCTGCCCTTGTAGCCAGCGTATTTGTACAGTGAGTGCACTTGATAACTGGTGACAATGTTCTAATTAATAAATTAATGGGAAGCCGATGAAAGGAAGCGTATTGGAAAATTGCAATTGCTATTAAAGGACAAAAGGAAATTAAACTGTTTATGCTTCAAACAGACTGTTAAATGGAATTGTAGTGCAAGTCATGCGAGGTCCCTGAGGGGCAATGTTAAGGTAGTGGTGAATTGACTGCTGAAGCTGTTCCAGCAAATGTTGGTTCTATTGTCTTGGGCCTTGGTGGTACTATCAACCTCAGCCCTCTGCTCACCTCACTCTGTAACAGCCTTCAGCCTGTAATCCAGCCTGACACCTTTCTGTGTCACCCACTGGGGCAGTTTGCTGCCTGAATGTGAACTTTAGCTGCCTACCAACTTCCAATAGTACCACAAAGAAGGAAAACCGGGTTGACTTGTAAGTTGTCTCATTTCTCAGCTCACTCGTCTCTTTCATTCCTGGGACACACCATCATTTCACACTTAAAGTCACCTCTTTCATGGCAACTGAGAATGCTTGCATCTTATAAAGGGCCGTGATAGTTTTCAGAAGACGTTTCAAATCTGACAGTTTTTGAAATAGTACTCATTCTCGTTGTACAGGGAGCCATGACAACCGATTTTTGCCTGGTCCCACAAGTTGCAATTAGATAAATTGTTTTAAGGTGCGGTTTTCTTCTGCTGAGGAAATGTTGCCCAGTACAATGGGCGGACACTCAGCACTTTCATTCAGAAAAACAAAAATAATGTCATTGAATGGTCCCACAAAGTTGAGTACGGCGATTTCCATTAGGGCAGCATTGAGTCTATTGGCTGAGTCAGTGTTCCACTCTGCGACCATTCACCTTAGCACAGAACCACAGCTGCTGCCATGATAGATAATGGGATTCTTATCTCTCAACCGGTGTTACCTGGAATGGGTTTGCAAGTGGGGCGTTAATTTATAGTAGAAATTGAACAGGCTGGGCCTGTATCTATTGAAGTTTATAAGAATGAGAAATGGACCTTTTTTGGATATATAAGATCCTGACAACGCTTGACAGTGCGGATGCTGAAAAGATTGTACGAATCAGCATAGTAGCCTAAAGCACTTCCACCTGAAAGCAGTTAAGCAACTAATAACTCAGGAACCTAACAGGGAAAGGTAGTGAAAGGAGCTTGCAAGATTGTAAGTCATTCACCTCAGAGTTCAGATATGGGTTAAGATTATGAATGAAGCAAGAGTACGTGCTCAATACCAGCATACTAAGACATATGAAGATGAAAATGTTTGCAATAAGGGTGTTTGCAAGAATAATGTTGAAGCAAAACAATAAGCCAAAACCAAAAGGAAAATGTTACTATTTCATTTCCATTTTAAACATAAACGGACCCATGATTTTGTTTCAACAACAAAAGACTGATGACTTTTCTGATGATCATATTTAACAACAGTTGGTGTTAGCATTAGTCGATCAGCCAAGTTTTTTTCTCACACATCCTACAGTACAGATCTTCTTAAGACTTCTTTTTAATTAAAAAATGATCACAATTTCCATGTACATTAGTATAACCATTGCCTGCTAAAAATTTCTTAGACCTGCATAATACCACAAATTAAGATTCTGAAATATAACACATTTAAACAGAACAATAATAATTGCATGCACAGTTTTCGTGTAGTTTTTATTAAATACTGTTGTCAGCTTTGCAGCCTTCTATGGTCGAAAATATTTTAAATCAAAGTACTGCAATATAACAATCAACAAAAACAGTTTATCTACTCCAACAAAATTGGGCAATAAAATAAACACTTCTCCTTTCTCTAGACCCATTACGTACCTACCAAGACCATCACGTCTGTTGATCTCATGTTATTTTGTTGTGTTGCATTGTTTAAAGCTTCACAAGTGTAGTTACCAGTGTCATTCAAGGATATACCATCAATGATTAGCTGCTCTTCATAATGCTGAAGAGGATTACCGTTAAGGTACCACCGAAACTCAGAAGCAGGATTTGAATCGGCAGAACAGGACAGGTTTACACTCGACCCCAAGGTGTGGAAGGAAAGTGATGGGTCGATGGACATATTAACGGATTCGGGTCCATCTAAAATAAATGCACAGTTGGTTGCAACATATCATGTAGGCACTGGAGAGTATAAGACAGGCATGCAACCCAGCATCCACAGCTCTAAATCCTAGTGAAGCTTCTGTCACAACTAATTCTATACACTATTGCAATACATATCCATAATGAGGTGAAAAAAAAGGTATGGAAACAAATCACATTCAGTAAACGTGAGCCAGGTTTCAATTTGCTTTTGTAAATATCGCAGAGCGACAATGTGCTTGAAAAGTCCTCATTGTCTCTTGACTCATTTTAGTTTCACTCAAATTTTCTATCTCTTTAAATCATTTGGATTCAAACTGAAAATCTCATTTCAATTCCTGTTCAACTTTGCAGCATGGCTAACGTTACTCCCTTAGTCAGAATCATAGAGATGTACAGCATGGAAACAGATGCTTCGGCCCAACACGCCTGTGCCCACCAGCCATCCTAAATTAATGTAGTCCCGTTTTCCAGCATTTGGTCCATATCCCTCTAAACCCTTCCAATTCATATACCCATCCAGATGCCTTTTAAATGTTGTAATTGTACCAGACTCCACCACCTCCTCTGGCAGCTCATTCCATACCCGCACCGCCCTCTGTGTGAAAAAAATGCTCCTTTTAAATCTTTGCCTTTTCACCTTAAATCTATGCCCTCTAGTTTTGGGCTCCTCTATCCCGGTGATTCATTGCACCCCGTTAAAAGGTATAGGTAAATTTAAAACGTACGTATGTGGATTGAAATGTTGTGGCTGTTCCCCTGAACACATTGTGTCATAGGTGAGCAATAGCTCCAAGTCCATGTAAAATTAACTTCCAATGGGCCAAGGCGTCCACAGAGGAGATCTGATTTTCCCCTCCCCACTTGCTTGCTACCAACTCACAACTGCCACGAACAAGCTGCTAGTATGCATGCAACTCAATGAATCTTCTGATCAAAATGCCTGATTTTGGTTTTTATTCATTCGCAGGATGTGGCTAGGCCAGCATTTAATCACCATCCCATCTGGAGTCAAATGTAGGCCCGTCCAGTTAAGGATGACAATTTCCTTTCATTAAAGGAACCAACGGAGTTTCACCATTCAGTGGTTTCAGTGTCATCATTTGATTTGTAATTACAGATTTTTATCCAGATTCCACCACCTGCCATGGCGGGATTTGATACCGATTCCTCAAAACGTTACCCTGGCTTCTGAATTAATAATCTGGCGATAATACCACGAGGCCTCACCACTTTATCACTGACAAAATCGATTAATCTTTGACCTGATGATCCATGGGAAAGACAACTTATTGGACACCTGTCTCATTTGCTCTCCTTTCTGTAAATGATAACTGGGCCTGGATTTGACACACTGCAAGGTTGGAAGGCTGGCATCTAAAATCCAATGGCACCCAGGTTTCAGCCAACTTCCCTGCCCCAGACCCCACTCAAATCATACAGAGGATGGGGTGTGGCCCTGTTGCGTGACACATCTGGAGTCAACTGAGATCTTCAAGTGGCCACTAATTGGTTGCCGAAGTGCGTCATTCTGTCACCTCATAGTGGGAGGGTTACACTGATGGGAAAAAGTAGTAGACCTGGTGGTGAGCAATGGAGGAGGGGAGTGTTTGACCTTCTTTACAGGCACCTTGTCTCATTGGAAGTACCAAACCCAAGCTATTCCCCACCAATGAGTGTGGGAGGGGGCTGTTGGTGGACTTGGCTTCTCAGGAGTATGGGTGCAGGCAGTTTTGTTGCTGAAGTATCCTATTGAAGCAAGTTCCTTGTTGCCTATTTGACAAGGGCTCTCTCTTATCCCCAAAGCTAGTCCTAAATGACATACGATCATAGAATCCCTGCAGTATGGGGATAAGCCATTTGACCCACACTGGCCCTCCAAACAGTGTCCCACCCAGACTCATGCCCCTACCCTATCCCTGTATTTCCCATGACTAACCATCCTAAACTGCATATCCCTGGACACAATGGGGCAATTTAGCATGGCCAATCCAGCTAACTTGCACATCTTTGGACTGTGGGCAGAAATCCACACAAACACAGAGAGAATGTGCAGACTCCACACAGACAGTCGCCTGAGACTGGAATTGAACTCAGGTCCCTTGCATTGTGAAGAGCCACTAAGCACCATGCCATCTTTTTTATTTACCTTGACTGTGATTGATTTGAATCATAGAACTCATTTGTCACCCGACCAATTGTGGAACATTTATCATTTTCTGAGGATTCACCTTCACAAACCTAGCCAATTTTCTTCTTGGCATTTTCTAATCTATTTGTTCAGAAATTTTATTCTATGGGGCAGGTGAGGCTTGAACTTGGACCTTCTGGCTCAGAAACAGGGACTCTCCTAACCAATGTTCTTCTTCTGAATTCAAGTCTTGAAAGCCAATTGAATTATTTTCTATTCCAATATTCAAATTTCAGCTCTCAAATTCAGGTCAGCCATGATCATATTGAATCGAGGAGCATGTTTAATGGCATGAATGTCCTGCTCCTGCTCATGTTATGATCTTTTGTAGTATTTGCGCTGAATGTAGACTGAATTGGGCTGTGGTCAAATAATTCAGGAGAGTTGTATAATTTAAAATGGAATAACATACGGTCTGAAAAGGTCAGCTACTCTTTATTAGCAACTAGTCAGTATATCCATATCATTTTCGCATCAATTTTACTCTATTTCAGAAAGTAATATATGTACGTGTGCTTGCCTCGTTTGCAATATTATACCATTTGCACTCTCAGAAGTATATTGTGGCAAAATGGTAATTTAGTGCATTTTACTGGACTGTGAAACCCAATTTCTGAAGATATTAATTTGGGCATTTTAATTAATTTGACAGTTCTTGATGACAGATTCCACTTAGGACAATTTGAATTAAGACCCTAAGAACCAGGAATAGCAGTAGGCCATTCAGCCCCTCAAGCCTGCTCTGTCATTCAACGGGATCATGACTGATGGTGACCATGTGGGGTGCTGAAATGAAGCTTGTTTACGTAGCTACTCAATTAGCGTGCAAGTGTACTGAGGGAAGGCAACTCACAGATCTTCAGCAGAATGATGGAAAACAATTTTGGTTCATGCCATTAGGGTCTACTTGTATGAAGTAGTTGGGAACGGTTATTCAGAAATGGATTTGACTACGTTAACACAGAATGTAAACTGGCCTTGGAAAAGAAGGCCAGCAGAACCTGTTGTCATTTCCATCAGTCCACAGTATCGTGCTAGGTCTAATGTGATAAAACAATGCAGGATAAGGTCAGAAAAATGTAAATCACTAACGAAGACATTTTTTGTGACACTTACAGTTAATGTTAAGTAGATAAGGATCACTTGCATTTTCATTAATCATGTTGTAACCATAACATATGAACTCTTCGTCAGATCTCAACACTCCAAATATGGTCAAGGTGCTGTTATCGCTATTCAGACCAAACCTGTCACCGGCCTCAATAGTTTCATTTTCTTTAAGCCACTGATATGAAACTGCTGTCCCTGAAGCGTGGCACATCAGAACCACTGTGTCATATTCTACTGGGGTGGTATTATTGGACAAGATAAAGGGCTTAGAAACAGGTTCTGTCAAAACACAGCAGATTATTGTATTAAATAATGTGGAAGCAGGATTCAGTAAAGAAATTACCAAAATTTCTTTAAATGCCTGAGTTGCTTTGAATATTTTATATATATTACACAATTATTACGAGGTGGAAGGAGGCCATAATTTCTTCATGCCTCTATTATCTGGTCCAGATCTTAATGTAGGGCTAATTCCTGCCCTTCTCCCATATCCCTGCACACTCAGCCCAGCATGGCAGTCTCCCGTCTTGACGTGGCGGTCTCTCGGCCCAGTGCATTGGTCTTTCAGCAGCCCGTGGAGGTCTTTCAGCCCGGCGTGGCCTCAGCATTGGACTTCCAGTCTCGAGGTGATTCCAGAGCAGCCCCTCGGTCTCAAGGTGAAGCCTGGTGCAATCCGGGGTCAAGGCCCGGAGTGGATTGGAAGCTTGGTACCAACTTGGACTGGGTTGGAAGGACATGATTCTGAACTTTTTTTTCCTCTATTTTCTAATTTGTTCCTACAATCTGTCACGGTGGACCTTTTATATCTTTCTTTTCTAGTTTTTTTAACTAAGAACCTGTACTGAAGAATCTGTACATAGATACCTTTGGTGTCATAAGTGACAATTTGTAAACTTTTCACTGTACTCCTCTGTGTACATGTGACAATAAAGTTAATTCTAAAGCTAATTCATAGTTACTATTCAAACCACAATCCAATGTCCCTCTTGAATGCCTCAGTCACATTTTCAGGCAGCACATTCCAGACCACTTGCTGTATGGCATCAGTCTGGTTTTATTTGCATATGGGTTAAATCTGTGCCCTCTCAGTCTTGTTTATTTTACAAGTGAGAACAATTTTCCCCATCCACTCTGTCCAGCCCTCATCATGTTTTGAAAACCTCAATGAAAATCTCCTCACAATCTTCTTCTCACCAAGGAGGACAGTCCCAACTTCTTCGATCTATCCTCATAGTTGAACTATGTGAATATAACTTGATATAATAGGATTTAATACATGCTATATTTATCAGCAAGTTGCATTAATTTAAATGCTTCTCATTGAGATGTTGTAGTAAATATATGTAGGTTGTGTTTATAGATATACAGTATAGTAAGGAATTCCTTGTTTTATAGGGGTCACTATGAAATTACTTCCAAAATAGTTGAACTGCTTGCAAATAGATTTAATACCATGGGTTGAAATTATGCTGTCTGATATTGTAATACAAAATTACATAGATAACATAGCAGCTGAACTTTGTGAAATAATTGCATACAAAAATTCAACAGAAATCAATAGATAGTGTAGAATCATAGAGTCATGCAATACTGAGGAGGCCTTTCAGCCTATCGAGCCTATACCACCAAAAATATACAGCCACCTGCATAAGTGCCACTTTCCTGCACCAGGCCCCAAGCCTTATACGTACAGTGTATATTTTCCACTTCTCATTATTGCTTCTTAGGAGGTGAGCAGTGCCTAGGAGGATCTCTTGCCTGTTAATAGTTTTCACATATTGCTGGTGAGTGCTCTGGTCAGGGACAGTCATACCAGACTCGAAACATCAATTCTGTATCTCTCTCCACAAATGCTGTCAGACTAACTGCTAACTACTGTTCTGGTTTCTCCTTCTGTCAACTTTAGCCCAAATCATCACTGCATCGGATGCGATTTTGCCAACTCTATTATGGAACACCTCATTGGATGCTTTCAGAAAATCTTTACTCACTGCAATACGATTTGTATCCCTTGATCAACCCTCTGCATTGTCTCCTCAAACGTCAAGTAAATTTATTATGAAAGCAAAATACTGCAGATGCTGTAAATCTGAAACAAAGACAGAGAAGCCTGGAGAAACTCAGCAGGTCTGGCAATATCTGTGGAGAGGGAAACAGAGTTAATGTTTCACGTCCAATGTGATTCCACTTCAAGTTGCTAGTTCTGAGACAGAGTCATATTAGCCCCATCACATTAACTCTGCTTCTGTCTCCACAGATGCTGCCAAATCTGCTGAATTTCACCAGCATTCTCTCTGTTTGAAACAAATTTATCAGACATCGTGAGATTTTAACAAATACTTTTGCCCTGAACCAGGTGATATTAACTCTGAATATCGTCCAAAGAGTGCACACTTGTCAATGACTGATTTTAAGGAAAAAGTACATCTCGGCCTGGCATGGCGGCCTCCTGGCTTGGCATGGCAGCATCCCGGCCTGCAAGGTGAGCTTTCAGCCCGGCGTGGTGGACTCTCAGCGTGGTGTGGTGATCTCTCAGTTGCCCAGCATGGTGGTCTCTTGGCCCGGCTTGGTGGTCTTTCGCTGTTATGTGGCGAATTCTTGGCCTGGCATGGCCTCAGTGTGGACATCTGGTCTCAAGGTGATTCCTTGAGGCACTAAAGAAAAACTGCAATGTTTGAACTTCCAGCTTTACTTCTTTATTTTCTCCTTAAAAATTAGAAGTCTGCAATATGTAACTTCTAACTTTATTTTATATGTTTTACTATAATTACTGCAACGTTTAACTTTTAACTTTGCTCCTTCTTTCTACTTTGTTCTAAGATTATGTACCAGGGTACTTGTACCTGTGATGGCACCTTGCATAGTGACATCATACACTTTTCATTGTAATTTTGTACTTGAGTACACATGACAATAAAAAATCAAAATCATCATCAAAATCAACTTATCACATGAGCCATTGGAGAGAGGCAGTTTGGATTAGTTGTCTGTTATGGAAATCACTCCAGTTTCCATTCTAGTGCCCCCTCAAATTTGATCCAAAAAAGAAAAACAGAAGCAGAATAGAGATATCTCTTTCCTACTTTACAGGAGTGACACAACCGACACTAAACATAAAATTACATGAGTGATGAAGTTAAATGTAGAAAGACAGTGATTAACAACTCCAACTACGAATACAACTATTACTACCACACGACAACAATAAACCCAACACAGTTCACAATTTACATGGACATTTCTACTCTACAAGATAATCATCCTTACATACCAACCACAATGATGTCTCTCATTGTCATGCTGTGCCTTTTGGTCACAATATTAAAGGCTTCACAAGTGTAGTTACCAGTGTTATTCAAGGTTATATCAGAAATGATTAACTGGTGTCCATAGTTATGTAGTGAATTTCCATTAAGGTACCACTGAAATTCAGAAATGGGTTTTGAAATGGCAGAACAGGAAAAAATCACATTTGACCCCAAAATGTATAAATCATGTTGTGGGTTGATGGTTATATTTAGAGATTCCGGTCCATCTAAAAACAAACGCATGATCAGTTACAACATGTCACTTGGAAGATTCAGACTGTAAAGTTAGCATGCAACACACAAGCCTAAATAAGTTATTTCACAAATTATTATGTCACAAATCATGCCACTCGTGGTGTTGAATTAGAACCACAAGGTACAAAAGCAAAACTAAGAGCTAAGGTGTATATGTGAAAAAAAGCTTTGTCCCAAAATATAGACCTTTTCAGATATGTATTTTGTAGGAATTTATTTGCTTTTAGTTTTGCTTTTAAGATTAAAGGAAAGCTAAAATGACTTTATCTTGCACATCACACCCTTTGTTCTCTTACCTAGATGGTTAATGATCACATGAGGTGGATGGAAGCCAAACTGGCAATGAGTTTTTGTAAAACCTGAGGTGAAGCTTCTAATATTTTTAAAATATTGGTTTTAATGTCATGGAGTCTAATTGCAGACACATCTGGCTATGGAAAGTAACATTATATTGCTTAATATTTTGAAGTAGACTTTGTCTGAATTTGGTTTGAATTTTTAGGGTGATGAAATTTGAGGAAGAGTCATGACATTTTTTTAGGTACACCACATGAATATGAATAAGAGAGGATGAAGGACCTTCTCAAACTGAAATGAGAGACAATGATAAACACAAGAAAATATCTCAATAAAGAGAGCGTTCTCCTGGTGTCCTTGCCAACATTCATCCATCACCAGTAGAAGCTTCCACTTCAGCGACAGACAAAAAAAAGTGTAAGGAAATGGCAAAGGTTGTTTTGAAATAGGATTGCCAGGAATCGAAAAACAATATAAGGAGAAATATAAAGAAATGAAATTAAACAGAGAGCCAAAAAAGTATGATACCTAACTGCAGTTGTACAAAACCCTAGTTACACCCCAATTGGAGTACTGTGAGCAAATCTGGGCACCATATTTTAGAAAGGATATATTGGCCTGGGAGGGAATACAACATAAGTTTACAAGAATGTTATCTGGACTTTAAGGGTTAAGTTATGAGAAGAGATTATACAAATTAGGTCTGTTTTCTCTAGAATTTAGAAGGTTAAGGGTTGATCTGATCGGAGACTTTAGCAAGTTAACAGGAAAAGACAGGATAGATAAACAGAAACTGTCGCCACTGGTTCGGTATTCTTGAACCACAGGGCGTAATCTGAGACTTAGGGCCTGACCATTCAGAAAAGACGTTAGGAAATATTTCTAAACACAAAGGGTGGTGGTTGTTTGGAACTCTCTTCCACAAATGCCAATAGATGTTGGATCAGTTGTTCATTTTAAATCTGGGATAGGTAATTTTTTGTTAAGCAAAGAGCCAAAAGACAGGTGAATGGAGTCAGGCTAAATATCAGCCATGATCTCATTGAATGATGAGACAGTCTCAGAGGGCTGAATGGTCTATTCCCATGCTTCTATGAAAGGCACCAGAAGATCTCTGGCATTAGGCAAACAATAAATAGTGGGATATCCTGACCAATTTATATTGATGTTCATATCAGTAGCCTTTGGTACTCTCCTGGAAGCAACAATTAACTTTACTGGAAATTAGGAAGGAATTTTCATACTGGAACTTGTTGCGGATACTAAAGGGGACATTGTTTTGCCTGGAAAATGGAGCTCAGGCTTGGCTGTGGGCAAAGGTTCAAATTCTCCCCAAATGCTGGCCTGTTGTGAACCTGACTTGATTCTGCTCACCCACAGCTTTTAGTAGGGTCCTTTGGAAGACATGTGGGAAATTCGGATGGAGGTCATGGGTGGGCTTTTACAACAATTAATCGTTTGGAAATACAGATTGAGATAATATTGTTATGATTGTCTAATTGACAGCAAATTGGAGGAAGTTTCAAGGAGTCAAGGGTGTGTTGCTAAAGTACAGCTTGGAGCAGCCTTGTAGCTCAGTGCTAGTGTCTTTGCCTCCGGGCTAAGTAGCCTGGGTTCAAGTCCCACCTACTCCAGAGGTATGCTATAAACATCTCTGAGCAGATAGATAAGAAAATATTAAAAGAAGCCTGCAGTTTGAGTTGTCCAGTTGAGGGGTCAGTTAAATTGTGGATGTAATATAATTACATGATGCTGGGCTTTTGTTGATCACTATGTGCAATTCTAGACTCCAGATTACAAGATTGTCATCCCATTGTGGAAGACATCCTTGATTTCTGGCTTTGGGTATTAATAGTGTATGAAGGGAATACAATTTTATTGTGGAGTATAATGGAGTATAGTGTGGGAAAATGTGAAGTTGTTCATTTTAAAGGGAGAACAAAAGAACAGGATTTCGTTTAAATGGGGAAAAAAAAACTGCAGAATGTTAAAACGCAAAGGGACTTGGGGTATTTGTGCAGGAAAGCTAACACACAGATGCATGATGCAATCAGGATGGCTTAAAGGAATGATGGCCCTTATTTCAAGGAGTTTGGAGTACAAGTGTAGGCAAGTCTTACTACAACTGTATAAGGTGCTAGTGAGGCCACATCTGGAGTGCTTTGACCAGTTTTAGTCCCCTTATTTAAGAAAAGATATTATGCCATTGGATGGGGCTCAGAGAAGGTTCACATGGATGGCCTCTGATATGGACGGATTGTCTTATGAGGGAAGGTTAAACAGGTTGGGACTCTACACATTGGAGTTTAGAAGAATGAGAGGTGATCTCATTGATACATATAGGATTGTTAAGGGGCTGGACTGGATAAATGCCGAGAGAATGTTTCCCCTCTGGGGAGAATCTAGGTCCAGAAGCCTCAGAAAAAAGGGGTGCCAGTTTAAGACTGAGATGAGGAGGAATTTCTTCTCTCCGAAGTTGTGAGTCTTTGGAACTCCTTGCCACTGGGAGCTGTGGGGGCAGAGTCCTTATGTATATTTAAGGCAGAAATAGATAGATTCTTGTACAGAAAGGGTATTTTATGGGGAAAGGGCAGGAAAATGAACGTGAGGAAAGTGTGGGATCAGCCATGACCCTGTTGAATGGGGGAGTAGGTTCAAGGGGCTGAATGGCCTACTCCTGTTCCTATTTGTTATGGTCTCATGGTTTCTAATCAGTAGAAGACACAAAGGTAATTCATTGTGTTCTTACGATAATCAGAGATTTTTATATTCACCATGGCTGAGAGCAGTTTCCAATTCTAGATTACAATTGCAATAATTTAATGCACTGATCAGTTGCTGATTAAAGATTACATATTAGGAAGAAATCTAAAGCTTTCTTTCACACAATTCATGCTAATTCTAGGATGATTCTATCACCAGAAAGATGATTGACAGATCTGTAGAAATTGCAAGTTGAACCAATCCTGGCTCACAATATTTGTGACCAGTAATATTTAATCATCACATTACGTCAAATTAGAATTTTGAACAGACTGCACAAGATCAAATGTCTTATCAATCAACTTCTCACATATTTCCATACCAGTAGAGAATTGTATCCATGCTAAACCCAAATATATAACATGGAATGTCAATTTGCAAAGTATGTGTTAGAAATCTTATATAGAAATATGATAATTTTGTCTTCCAATTCCCCCATGTTAAACACACTAGGTTTGGTAACAAGCAGCTAAAATGTTTAAAGAATTCACTGTGCCACTTACAGCTAACATTTAGAAAATACGGCTCACTTCTGCTCCAATCAATTGCATTATATGCATGGCATTTAAATCCTCTGTCAGTCCTCAAGACTCCAGATATAGTGAGGGTTTTATTATTTTGACTGAGAGTGATTCTATCACCAGGATTGACAATTGTATTTCCTTTAAGCCAGTAATATGATTGTACTGGCCCTGAGGCATTGCATTCCAGAGTTACCGTATCATTGCGTTCTACAGGACTTATGTTGTCTGCTGAGATGATAGGCTTAGAGATTGATTCTGTCAAAATATACAAGATTATCATTCATCTCCATGACATGATAGAACAGAGCTAGGTAGAGTTGTTACAGGAATATTCTGAATTTATTTCAGACCTTTGAAACCCTTAAACTGTTGCATCCTTGTGAGTGGAAGACTAAAATTAAAATTTTCCGTGAGGCCAATTAACAGCCCATTAGACATAGGTTTGCATCTATTTGAATATCTTATTGTATAAGTTGAATAAAATGAAGAAGCTGTATATTAAAAAATAAGGTAGGTTTCACCCCAGGAAATTGAACTCAAAAGAATTACCCACAAAATATTAGACGAATATTGTGAAAAGAGTGGATGACATTGGTCCAAATAATACTCCTTGGTTTGAACTTGCCATCAGGATAGAGAAGCTCTCTGGTATGGTGGAAATGGAGGATTTAATGGACCCCTAAGTCCTACAATCGATCATGGGCTGGAGTACACGCGTATGCATTTCACAAAGGCAGCTGCTATTACAGCAGCCACCCTGTCGGATTTTGGCATCCCAATAGTGTGGAACACAAGGAATAGTAGCTGGAAGAAACCATTTGGCCCATCGAGACTGTGCAACACACCATGGGATCTTGACTCATCATAGACATCAACTACAATTTCCTGCCTACTTCCTGTATCCTTTCATTCCCTAAGAATCCAAAAATATGTCTGTTCCAGGCTTATTATCTATTCAATGATAAAGTTTCTTACAAAGCTCTTCAGTAAAGAATTCCAAAATTTCACACTCCTTTGAGTGAAGATATTTCTCTCATATCAACTCAACCTATCCTTGTAAGAATATCCCTCCATTCATGGGGTCAATGAATCTTCTCTGGATTGCTTCCAATGCCAGTACATCTTTCTTTGATAAGGGGACCAATACTGTTCAGTCTATTAGAGCAGTGACAAGTGCTCTGTATAGTTTTCACAAGACTTCCTCACTTTTTATTCTTCACTCCCTTTGAAATAATGACCAACATTTTATTTACCTGTCTTGTTGCCTGCTAAACCTGGATGCTGGCTTTTTATGATTCATCTAAAAGGACTCCAACTCGACTTTTTTCAGTTTATCTCCATTTAAATAATATTCAGCCCTTCTATTCTTCCTGTCAATGCGCACACAAATTGTTATGTTTTTCCAAATGATATTTCATTGGCCAGGTTTTTTGCCCATTCACATAAAATGTCTATATCCCTCAGTAGAGAGCTTGTGCCATCCTCACTACTTGCCTTCCACCTATTTTTGAGTCATCCACAAACCTGGTGATAGGGCATTCACTTCCATCATACAAGTTATTCATATATATTATAAATAACTGTGGCCCCAGAACTGACCACTTTACAACTTCATAGCATTATAGCCATCATGAAAATTCTCCTCCCCTTACCCTAAACCATTGCTCTATCCATGCTGATATACTACCTCCAACACCATAGGTACTTCTGTTATTAACTACTCTTAAGTGCAGTACCTTTTGAATGCCTTCTGGAAATATATTACATCTACTGATCCTCCTTTATCTATCCTGTTTGTTATCTCTTCCAAGGACTGTAATAAATTTGTCAGGCATGATTTTCCTTTATGAAGCCACGTTGACTCTGCTTGATTGTGCATTTTGTTATCATGCAGATTTCTAAATGATCTGCAATTATATCCTTTATGACAGACTGTTACATTTACCTGATAACAGGTATTAAGCTAACTGGCCTATGGTTAGCTTTTTATTTGTCCCCTCACTGTCGAAATAAAGGTGCATAACATTGGCAGTTTTCCAATTCTTTGGGACCTTTCCACAAGCTAAGGATTCCTGGTAGATTACTATCAGTTCATCCACTAACTCTGTAGCTACTTCCTTTAATATCCTTGGAAGCATCCAATCCAGGGAACTTATTAATCTTTAGTTCAATTAGTTTTTCTTTTCCTCTCGTTATAGTTATTGTATTTACAAATCCCCTGCTTTGGCCCATTGATTATTTGTCATTTTTGGAATGTTATTGTGTCATCTGCCTTATAGACAGATGCAAACTTTTAATTAACCTCTCTGTCATTTCCTGGTTGCCCATTATAATTTCCCCAGCCTCATTCCTTAAGGGAGCTATTTTCATTTTGGTCTCTTTCTTCCTTTGTTAGCTATTTAAAGAAGCTCTTACTGTTGATTTTTATGCTACTTGCTACTTTACTCTCTTTCTTTATCTTCTCATTGATTTTTCTGGCCCTGTTTTGCTAGTTTTTAAAATAATTCCACTCCTCTAGTTTGATGCGAGTCATGGCTATATTTTATGTTTTATTTATTTGACATTCTCCTTAACTTCCTTGTTTAACCCTGGCTGGTTTATGCCCTTCCTAGAATCTTTCCACACTAGTCGTTTTTTTTTTGCTGTTAATCCTGAACTGTTTTGTAAAACAGAAGCCATTGTTCATCAACCACCTTTTCTGCTACACTCCTTTCCTAGTCCACTCCAACCAGCTCTGCCCTTATCCCCATGTAATTACCTGTATTTAAGTTTGGCACTGTTTGTTCTAACTCAATTTCTCCCTCTCAAACTGATTGCTAAATTCCAATAGAGTCGTAGAGATATACAGCACAGAAACAGATTCTTTGGTCCAACTCATCCATGCTGACCAGGTAACCTAAATTAACCTAGTCCCATTTGCCAGCCTTTGGCCCATAACCCTCTAAACCCTTCCTATTCACATTCCCGTCTGGATGCCTTTTAAATGTTGTAATTGTAGCAGCCTCCATCACTTCCTCTGGCAGCTCATTCCACACATGCAGCACCATCTGTGTGAAAAAGTTGCCCCTTAGGTCCCTTTTAAATCTTTCCCCTCTCACCTTAAACTTACACACTCTCATTGTGGACTGCCCCACCTTGGGAAAAGTCCCTGCTTATTCACCTATCCGTGGCCCTCATGATTTTATAAACCTCTGTAAGATCACCCCTGAGCCTCCAACGCTCCAGGGAAAATAGCTCCAGCCTATTCAGCCTCTCCTTGTAGCTCAAAGCCTCTAACCCTGGCAACATCCTTGTAAATCTTTTCTAAACCCTTTCAAGTTTCACAAAATCCTTCCTATAGCAGAAAGACATGTTATGGTCATTATTCCCAAGTGGATCTTTTGGTCTGAGATCATTTATTGAATCTGCCTCATTACACATTACTAGATCCAAAAAAGACTGGTCCAAGTTTGAATCCATGATATATTGTTCCAGGAAGCTATCTTGAATTCACTCTGACTTTTACCACATGGCTGCATCTGCCAAGTTCATTTGTCTAATCTGCATGAAGATCGAAGTCACCCACATTTCAAGCACTGCCTTTTTAACATACTTTCATTCTTTCTTAACTTATTTTCTGTTCTACAGCATTGATACTGTTAATTAACCTATAGACTATTCCCACCAATGTCTTGTTTCCTTTGCTATTTCTTACTTCCACACATATGGATTCTACAAAATCCAATCCAAGATCATTTCTCCTACTTATTCTGTCTTGTACTAACAAAGCTACTCCATCATACTTTTCAAACTGCCTGCCCTTTTGAAAAGTCACATCAACTTCAATATTTAGTTCCCAGCTTTGAACTCCTTGTAACCACACCTCTGTAGTGGTTATAAGACCATTCCCATTAAACCTCTAATCACGTCAATAACTCATTTATTTTGTTCTGAATACTATGTGTGTTCAAGTAAGCAGCAACTAATTTTGCCTTTTAACCATATTCCCTCTTGCCTCCTATTTGCTGCTGTTTTTATATGGTTCATATGTTTTCACATGATATAATCTGTCCCTCCTGCCTCACTCTGGGTATCATTATCTAAATAGTTGCCTTGTAATGCTGGCAGAAAATTTTGCTTTGTAAGCCTACATTTCCCTTCTGCCAAACCCTCCCCATCCTCTAATTAATTGAGAGCCCTCTCTCAAACAGCACAACTTCATCAATTCACCAGGACACAGGTCCCAGCATGGCTCAAGTGAAGCGCATCCCATTCGAACAGTTCTGCTCTATCCCCGCCATGCGCCGATGCCCCATTCCTCCTAAACCAAACTTTGAGTCATGCGTTTATCTCTTTGACTTTCTTTACCTTATGCCAGTTTACCTGTGGCTCAGGTAGTAATCCTGAGATTATCACCTTGGAGGTTTTGCTTTTCAGTTTAGCCCATAACTGTTCAAAAACTTTCATCAGAGCCTCCTTTCTAATCCTTTTGAAGTTGGAAATTCAAGTGCACTGCATCTGCATCCCAACGTGTTACTTCTTCAAATATGTCCAATAAATTTTGCTTTCATAAAACCATGTTGTCTGTGCCTGATTGCATTCTTATTTATAAGTTATAACATCCTTAATAAAGGCTTCTAGCAATTACCCCAAAGACTTCCTTTCTTTCTTTCTTGAAAAAGAATAATCCACTGGAATTCATCCAGAAGCTAAGGAATATTGAAAGATTAATACCAAGGTGTAAGATCTCTACAGACATTTATTTTATGATGCTGGGATGCAGGTCGTTGGGTCCTGGAGATGTGTGAACCACTGCAATCATATTTCTGAGATAGTGGGAACTGCAGATGCTGGAGAATCTGAGATAACAAGCTGTAGAGCTGGATGAACGCAACAGGCCAAGCAGCATCAGAGGAGCAAGAAGGCTGACGTTTCAGGCCTAGACCCTTCTTGGCCTGCTGTGTTCATCCGGCTCTACACCTTGCAATCGTATTTCTACCAGCTTTTCCCTGGTGACCTTGGCTTTTTAATTGTTTTAGAGATGTGAATGGAGTTTCAAGTCTATTGAGAAATCTAAACATTATTTCCCATAGATAGTAAGAACTGCAGATGCTGGAGTCAGAGATAACAGCGTGGAACACAGCAGGCCAGACAGCATCAGAGGAGCAGGAAAGTTGATGTTTCAGGTCAGGACCCTTCTTCAGAAATGGAGGGGGTGCAGGAAAGGAAGCCTAGAAATAAACAGAGAGAGGTGGGGTGTGGCTGGGGAAGGTGGGTGGGATGGTGATAGGTGAGTGCAGGTAGGGAGTGGTGGAGATTGGTCAGTGAGGTGGGAGGAGCGGATATGTGGGTGAGAAGATGGACAGATTGTATCAGGTCAAGGAGGCGGGGATGAGAGGGAGGGTTGGTCATGGATGATGCCAGGGATGGGGAGATTTTGAAACTGGTAAAATCCATATTTAAGCCATTGGACTGTAGGCTCCTGAGGTGGAATATGAGGTGCTGCTCCTCCAGTTTCCGGGTGGCGTCATTGTGACACTGGAGGAGGTTCAGGATGGACATGTTACCCAGGGAGTGAGAGGAGGAGTTGAAATGGTTCGCAACCGGAAGGTGTTGCCGTTTGTCATGAACAGGTGCTCTACAAAGTGGTCTCTGAGCCTCTGCATGGTCTCACTGATGTAGAGGAGTCCCCATTTCTGAAGAAGGGTCCTGACCGAAATGTCAACTTACCTGCTCCTCTGATGTCATCTGGCCTGCTGTGTTCCTCCAACTCCACACTGTGTTAACATTATTTCCCAGGACTTTTTTACCTGATCTCCACACTGAGTGCTTGTAAATGTACTATTATTATAAAACTTCAATAGTGCATTTTATGACTAAAACATTCATATCCCATTTCAATCCTTTGGAAGTATTGCAAGAAATCAACAAACTAAATTCGACCCTTCTACGCAAAATAACAAGGATTGTTTTCTCCACAGACAAGCAGTATGCGCAGCATGAGCAATAACTGGTACATTATTTCCACAAATCTATTGATGACAGAGCAAATAGCCCAAGTATCAAAACAAATGTGGAAATACTTAGAAGGAAAGAATAGTTTATTATGTCAGATAAAGTGGCAAACATCCCTTCACCAATCATCGGATCCAATACAATAAACATGGAAATATATTTGGATCAAGTGTCTATAATGGGAATTGTTCATGAGGATTAAACCTCTAAATCTCCCACTGTACCTTCCCGACCCATTCCTCGAATGAGTGACAATGAACCTGAAGTTGTCACTGGGGTCTGCATGTTTACTGTTAGATTCATTTAGCTTCCCCATACAGGATTTCTCTGCAATTATCAGCCTTAAAGTAATTCACACTATCCCAACCTGCTGATCCACATTTCAATCAGTCTTCACACATCACATTATTACTTTGCTGAGGCATACATCAGTATGCGTAGGAGATAACTGACTCACCTGTGGAACCAGATACCAGCTCTTCATCCTATATATGGTATGACACTTGGGCTGTACATGTTTGAGGGTGATGATGAAAGAGAGATTCCATCTATATGACTGGTGACTGGAGCTATCAAATTATCATCCTTTCCCAAGTTATTCCATTTTGTTATACATAGGCAAAAGGTTTTTGGAGCACCCATTGAGCTCTTGACCATGCCAATTGTGGCTAATTTCCCACTCCCACACCCACCCCAGTCAGAAGCCTGTCTTTTCCCTTTCCAACCCTGAAACTTGCTCACAAAATAGAGTTGACTGTTTAGTACAACACCGAGGGAGTGTTGAATTGTCAGAGGTGCTGCCTACTGGACAAATTACACCCCATATAAAAAAATCCCATCACACTGTTCTAGTGAAGATTTTGGCATTATTACTAGTGTCCTGGTCAACACCCATCCTTCAATCAACGTCACAAAGCAAATTCATTTATTGATGCTTCAGTGAGCTTGCTGCATACAATTTGGCAACTGTGTTTCCAACGCTACAACAGGAACTGCTGTTTTGTACACTGCTTCTCCTTCTGTTTTGTCAGTTGAGGGGCTAAGTATGGGCCAGGATACCATGAAACAGTGTCTTGTTGCCTACCCAGCTGAACATCTCACCTGGAAAGTGACATCTTGGAGGTTGGGTGGTGAGGTGCTGTTTGGGGTGAGGGGCATGGTGAGCCTCCAACATAGAAACTTGGAGTTCGAGGGGAGCTTGGTCTCAGTTGGTGGCGGCCTGGCGAGTGTGCGAGCAGCTAAACTGAAGCTCACTCTCCTCTGTCCCTTATCTCCCCGCTGAGCACGGGGTTTGAGGCCTTTGCAGCCAATTTAAAACGCCAATACTCTCCAATCTGTTGGGCACAGACCCCGAGGGTGGTGTTAGGTGCTCCCTTTCGAAACAGAAACTCAGCTTAATTGCAACCTGTAACCAGTTAAGCGTTTCCATTTTCCCCTCCATTAAACATACGCCAAGGTATATAAACATTCCCTGGAAGGATAGAAGGTAGCTCTCCATGTAATTTCCAGAGACCCCGCCCATCCCAGCTTGTCCCCAGCAGATAGGAGCCTCTTACCAATTACACGCAGAATAATCGTCGCTGATGCTTGATCCCCCACTTCGGGGACCATAGTAACAGTGTACTTCCCACTGTCTGATATTGTCACTGACTTCAACTTCAGAGATCCATTAGGCGTTAGAATCTGAGCCCTGGATTCATACTCGTTGCTCATAGAAATAGATGAGCCGATCCACTGACCGATATTTTTATCATTGAAATCCCAGTTCCCACTCTTCACCGAGCGTGAGGGCCTCACTGTAAAATTTGCGGTGCCTCCGATGGTCACATTAATCGAACTGTCGGCTTCGATGGTGAATGTCTGGGACTGGACTGAAAGGAGAAACAGAGAGAATCCAGTCAATAAGGGGAACGGAGAGGCTAAGTTTGGGAGCAGCAAAAACACATTCCCCACTGCCCAGCGGGTCACAGGAGTGAGAGGAGATGAGATCCTCACCCATGGGGAGCAGGAGGCAGGCAACAATAGCGGTAACCGTCAGCAACATGTTAGCTCTGTTCAGGGACTCCTCGCTGCTCCTTCATGCACTCACTGACTGACCCGCTCTTCCTGGTGTGTACAACGCATCAGCGCTCTCTCACTCACTGCCACTGTATTGCTGATTGGAGACTGATTCAGTGCTGTTTCCTCTGACAGTCACTGTAATGTTGATTGAAGAGTGACAGAGTGTTGTTCCCTCTGACAGTCACTGTAATCATCCACTGGGACTGTAATGCTGATTGGAGACTGTCCGAATGCTGTTCCCTAATCACTAATTTGGACTGTAATGAACTGGCCTCTGGAGCCAAGGTAAATCGAGGCAGGAGCGAAACCATGTTCTTTTGGAACTGCGCTGACTGATTCTTCATTCCCCTCACCGGCAGGACAGATTACCTGGAGGTACTGGGAATATGGTTCAGAGGGTCTGGGGTGTGTGCAACATCTTGGGAGGAACGCATGGCCAAAGTGAAGCGGAATCTGTTCCAGAGATAGTAGGAACTGCAGATGCTGGAGAATCTGACATAACAAGGTGTAGAGCTGGATGAACACAGCAGGCCAAGCAGCATTAGAGGAGCAGGAAGGCTGATGTTTCAGGCCTAGATCCTTCTTCAGGCCCGCTGTGTTCATCCAGCTCTACACCTTGTTATCTCAGAATCTGTTCCTTTGGGAGCACAGTTCTGTCTCCATTGCGGGTAAAAACCTGGTCATCAGGTGTGAAGCACTCTCCCTGTTGGTGTCGGTAGCACAGGTCTGGCCCATCCACCAAAACTACGCTGTTTCAGTGTCCTGAGCCATCTTCCCTTTCATCTGGAAGCCTAAGATAGGCCAGGTCAGCAGGGAATCCATGTGCAAAAATCTGGATAAGGTGGGATTGGGTACGTGGGGAGAACATACACAAAGCCATCCTCATCCTGATGGCCACTTTTGTGTATGGCTGCATCAAGCTGTGCAAAGACCTTTGCCACACAAACACCAAGAGTTACTATGTCCTGAAGTTCTACCTATCCCTGGTTTTGTGAAGGACAGGACTGGCCTCTTTGCCATGGAACGCTCCAGTAGTTGGACCATTGTTATTATCTGTCCATTGCTGAGAAATTTGCAAAGAAAAACACCTTTGACCACAAGCCCATCAGGGAATGGTCAGCACATAGTGTCCTTGAAACCCAGTGGGAAAAGGAAAGGGTGGATCCTGTCAGTCTGTTCCCTGAGCAGGCTGTCAAAGCCATTTGGCAGAATGCCCCATCATCAGAACTTTCCAACAAGCACCAAGACATCGCTTGGCTGGTGGTGAGAAGGGCACTGCCTGTGAGATCCTTCTTGTATGCCCAGTCTGTGCCACCGCCCGCTGCCTTGAAGCGGCTGCTGAAGGGTGCGAGAGGTGTTGGGGTAGAAAATGTCACATCTCTTTCTGAAATGTGCCTTTGCAGACAAAGTCTGGAGAAAGATGCAGTGATTTTTGTCGAGGTTCGTCCCGAGCAGCTCTGTGACACTAGAATGCACACTGAGACAGTCTGAGTGCTGTTCCATTCCATATCACCTGTCCTTCATAGAGAAATTTGCAAAGAAAAACACCTTTGACCAGAAGTTCATCAGGAAATGGTCAGCACGTAGCCTGGAGGACTGTCAACTTGTGAAAGATGCTCTTTGGTCCGCCTGAAATATGTCAGTCTTCCAGTGCAAGGAGTTGACCTCGACTGAGTATCACAGACGGGAACTTTCTAAGGTCCAGGATCACATGCTGAGGGATGCATTAAAACTTGGAGCAGTTGCCGCCAAGGCGCAATGGGGAAAGACCACTGAGGTCTTTCTGCCGAAGTTAAATGTGGTCCGTACGGTTATCAGATCTTCTTGTTGTGACAATATATGTAAATATATTGTATGAGAAAGAAATGCCTTTGGTCTTTGCAACTGCAGGGAATTTTTTTAAAAAATCATTCATGGGATGAGGGCATCGCTGGCTAGGTAGCATTTATTTTCCCCATTCCTAATTGCCCAGAGGGCAGTTCAGAGTGAACCACATTGCTGTGGGTCTGGAGTCACATGTAGGCCAGACCAGGTAAGGATTGCCGTTTCCTTCCCTAAAGAACATTAGTGAATCAGATGGGTTTTCCCAAAAATCGACAATGGATTCACAGTCATCATTGGATTCTTAATTTCAGATATTCATTGAATTCAAATTCCACCATGTGCTGTGGCAGGATTCAAACGCAGATCCCCAGAACATTATCTGGGTCTCTGGATTACCACTCGGCCATCGTCTCCCCATTAATATCAGAATAACAGATCCAATATTTATTTTCTTGATACGCAAACATTGTACACAACTTCTTTAGTAACTGTGCATTTACAGAAAGATTTCTTTATGAATAAAGTATATTTTTGCAATTAAAAAAATGTCATAGTACTGTTCCCTTTGAACCGTTCACTGGAACTATATTGCCGATTGGATACTATCAGAATGCTTTTCCCTCTGACAGTCAGTGTAATCATTCACTTATTAGAAACAGAATGTTGTTACCTTCCTTCGTTGCAACTTCAAGCTGGTTGGAGACAGTCCGAATTCTCCTGTATTGCCTACCCCTAACTGCTCAGAGGGTGGTTAAGAGTCTACCACATTGCAGTGCGTCTGGAGTCATGTGTAGGCAGATTTGCATCCCTTAAAGACATCAGTGAAGCAGGCATTAAATTGGAATAGGGTTTGATATTATTCTATCTATTCAATATTCTGTAACGCCTTTGCTGTAACAATAAGTACTACAATAATCTCAGAGCTCGTACCTTTTCTACACCAGGCAATGCTCATTGTGGGCTGGCAGGATCAGTGGATTTGAGGGGGAGGAAGAAGGTATGGGTGAGTGATGAGATTTTGGTCCCTCCATTAGTACTGATGGGATGGTCTGCATCATTGGTTTTGACCTGTTTTGTTAGTTCTCCCAGATGTCTCGACAGCTAGAGCATGCACAGTCCTGCCATGACTTGAGTGCCTTAGGACCAACTGAACTGGTTCTGACTTTAGAGTGCTACCTTGTCCAAATATACAAGGATGGAGCAGTAGACCATTCAGCCTCTTGAACTGGACCTGCCATTTCATTATTGATCTCAGTGTAACTTTAAATCCATGTTCCTGCTGACCCCTGATAAACATGTGCTGGCTCTGCTTAACTGATTTATCCACCTCTGCCTTAGAAATAGTCAAAGCCTCTGTTTTTACCAAATTAAAAAAATGAAAGAAATGCAGATGCGGGAAATCAGAAACAAAAACAGAAATTGCTGGAAAGACACAGCAGGTTCTGGCAGCATCTGTGGAGAGAAATCTGAGTTAACATTTTGGGTTCAGTGACCCTTCCTCAGCACAGATAGGTAGCTAGGAGGAAGTTGTTTCTTGAAAAGCTGCAGAAAGTTCTGAAAGTTGCAGAAGATGGGGTGTGGGAAGGGGGTAAGAAGTAAATGATAGGTGGTATAGAGCCCAAAGATGGAGAAGAACAGTTGGACAGACAAAGGAGTGGCTAGCGAGGAGCCTGGGAGAATGAACAGCTATGTTTTACCACCTATTTGGGAACAGAATTCCAAAAACTCATGATCTTTTGTGATTAAATAAAATTTGGCCTAATCTCTGTTTTAAACGTGCGATTCCAAAGATTTAATCAGTGATCTCTAGTCTTAGGCTCCTGGATGCTAATACTACCTGTCTCATTTAAACATCTCTCACTCACCAATTAAGCACTTTGTTTTGTTTTATGATATCTGCGCAGTTTCCTCACTTCTGTTTTTTTTTGTAATTATGATTTACCACAATGGCTTCCTTTCTTAAATAAAGTGACCCCACTTGAAATATTAACTTGTCTGTTCTGCCACAGATGTATGTCCAAAACCATCAGGAAGGGAATTAAGGGTTATTGGGAAAAGGCAGGAAAGTGGACTTGAGGTTTATTAAAGTGGCCATGTTCTAGTCCAACGGTGCAGCAGACTCGATGGGCTGAATAGCTTACTACTGCTCCTACATCTTACAGCCAGTGCCGGATATTGGCCTGCAGTTGTATTCTGATCAATAACTCCTCTTCAAATCCCAAAGTAGACTGATTGAAATTGGCAATATGCAATGGATTGTAGGTGTGGTGCATCAGCTATTCTACTTTCCAGTACAGAGGTTTAAAAACAAACCTGCTGTTCAGAAATGGTACTTTGGCCTCTGTGGAACCAAACCAAGGAGTGCTGAGGATTCAGATTTTCACTGATATTTGGAGACAAACTGGGGAAAGTAACTGGCATTTCCTGCACATTCGGTTACTCACTGGAGATGCCCAACCATCAAGCATTTCTGTGCTGGGTCCAACAGAGCAACAGTGCAGCACACAGGCAGAAGGGTGCTACTACAGGAGGACCACAAGGTCTTGCCTCCTGCCGATAGGCTTCCCCTCTTTGTTAGACCTCACACCCCTTCCCAGCCGGGGGTGGGATGCAGACATCTTGACTCCTTTCTTTCAGGTGGACAGTGTTTGCTGACACACACAACTGTGGCCAACTGCTAATCCAGAAAAGGAGATGGTGTTCAGTGGCGGAGAAACAGGTGTGAGGAGGAGGTGGAGGGATGCTGGATGGGAGGGTGGGGGTTAGGATGGCAGAATCAGGAAAAGGAGAGAATTGGGGTGGTGGTGGGAAGTGAGGAAATGCGGCAGAGTGGGAAGAAAGGGGAATGTCCCTCTGGCAACACATCCCATCCCTTTCCTGAAACCCTCTCCCAGCTCCCCCTTCCCCATACCCTTAATTCTTGACCCCCTTATATGCTCGACACCTCCAGTGCTGACCCCCATATTTCTCTTCCCCGGTCCCAATCCTACTAATCCTGATACCCCCCACCCTGAACTGTACCGTGCTGTGAACCACCTCAAATCCTGATTCCTATCTTCTCTGAAGTCCCGATCCTTCCCCTCAGTCACAATCTCTTTGCCTATCCTAATCCCTTCCTCCTCAATCCTTTCCCTCCCAAAATTCCAATCATTACCTCAATCCCGATCTCCTGCCCAACCTGATCTCCCCAATCCTGATGACCTACCCCAAATCCCAATGACTTCCCACCAAATTCCCAATCCCTTGCCCTCAAACCCACTGTCCCCCAATCCCATCACCACTCCAATATCAATTACTCCCCCAATCTTGATCACTCCCACCTGATCCCCAAATTCTGATCATTTCTCCCAGTGC